AGAAGATACCAATAAATGGAAACACGTCCCATGCTCATGGATAGGAAGAATTAATATTGTCAAAATGGCCATCCTGCCTAAAGCAATCTACAGATTCAAACTAATCCCTATCAAAATAACATCATTTTTCAATGAACTACAGCAAATAGTTCTAAAATTCATATGGAACCACAAAAGGCTCCAAATAGCCAAAGCAATCCTGAGAAGGAAGAATAAAGCTGGGGGGATTAAGCTCGCTGACTTCAACCTCTAGTACAAAGCCACAGTAATCAAGACAATTTGGTACTGGCACAAGAACAGACCCATAGACCAATGGAGCAGATTAGAGACCCCAGATATAAACCCAAGCATATATGGTCAATTAATATAAGATTAAGGAGCCATTGATATACAATGGGGAAATGACAGCCTCTTCAACAACTGGTATTGGCAAAACTGGACAGCTACATAATAATTCAGTAAGAGAATGAAACTGGATTATTGTCTAAGCCCATATACAAAAGTAAACTCAAAATGGATCAAAACCTGAATGTAAGTCATGAAACCATAAAAGTCATAGAAGAAAAAAAAAAACTCTTAGAAGAAAACCTAGGTAAAAATCTCTTGAATATAAACAGGAGCAACTTTTTCCTGAACGCATCTTCTCGGGCAAGGGAAACAAAAGCAAAAATGAACAAATGGGACTACATCAAACTAAAAAGCTGTGCAGTAAACGACACCAACAGCAGAACAAAAAGGCAATCTATTCTACAGCATGGGAGAATATATTTGTAAATGACATATCCGACAAGGGGTCAACATCCAAAATATATAAAGAACTCACAGGCCTCAACAGCCAAAAGGCAAATAACCCTATTAAAAAATGGGCAGAGGATATGAACAGACACATCTCCAAAGAAGAAATTCAGATGATCAGCAGGCACATGAAAAGATGCTCCACATCACTAATTATCAGGGAAATGCAAATTAAATGACAATGAGATATCACCTCACACCAGAAAGGATGGCCAACATAGAAAAATCTAGGAACCACAAATGCTTGCGAGAATGCAGAGAAAGGGGAACCCTCCTACACTGCTGATGGGAATGTAAGCTAGTTCGACCATTGTGGAAATCAATATGGAGGTTCCTCAAAAAGTAAAAATAGAAATACTATTTGATCCAGGAATTCCACTCCTAGGAATTTACCCAAAGAAAACAACTTCTCAGATTCAAAAAGACATATGCACCCCTATGTTTACTGCAGCACTATTTAGAATAGCCAAGAAATGGAAGCAACCTAAGTGTCATCAGTAGATGAATGGATAAAGAAGAGGTGGTTCATATACACGATGGAATACTATTCAGCCATAAGAAAGAAACAAATCCTACCATTTGCAACAAGATGGATGGAGCTAGAGGATATTATGCTCAGTGAAATAAGTCTGGCAGAGAAAGACAAATACCAAATGATTTCCCTCATTTGTGGAGTATAACAACAAAGCAAAACTGAAGGAACAAAATAGCAGCAGACTCACAGACTTCAAGAAGGAACTAGAACTAGCAGTTATCAAAGGGGAGGGGTGAGAGGGAGAAGGGAGTTGTGGGGGATTGTGATTAGTGTGCATGGTGTGTGTGGGGTCACAGGGAAGTAAGTGTAGCACAGAGAAGACAAGTAGGGACTCTGTGGCATCTTACTACACTGATGGACAATGAGGTATGGGGGAGACTTGATAATAAGGGGAATGTAGTAATCACATTCTTTTTCTTGTGAAACCTTCATAAATGTATCAATGATACCTTAGTAAAAAATACAAAATAAAAATTTTTTTAAAGGATTTGAGCACTTTACCAAAATTATCGGGACAGCAACATAAGTAATGAAAAGATGCTCAACATTGTTAGTCACAATGAGATACTACTACATACCTATTAGGATAGAAAAAAAATTTTTAAACTAACAATATCAAATGCTGGTGAGCATATGGAGTGAGTAGAATCCTCACACTTTCCTAGCAGGACTGCAAGGTGGTATAGCCACTTTGCAAAACAAGAAGTTTCTTATAAAGGTAAATATACACTTACCATATGACCCAGCAATCCCACCCCTAAATATTTACCCAAGTGAAATGAAAACTTATATTCACATAAAAATTTGTAAACAAATATTGATAGCCACTTTATTCATAACCACCAAAAACTAGAAACAACCCACATGTCTCTCAACTAGTGATAAACTAACTGCTTACATTCAGGCAATGGAATACTACTTAACCAATGTAAAAAAATGAACAACACACAAAAACATAGATGAATATCAAATGCATTATGCTAAATGAAAGAAGCCAGACTTAAAATGTCACATACTATGTGGATTCCATTTATATGACATTCTAGTAAAGGCGAAACTATAGGGATAGAAAATAGAAAACAGGCTGCCAAAAGGTAGCACAGGGGCTGACTACAATGAATCATGTGACAATTGGTGTGGAATAATAGAACTGTGCTTTAATTTGAGCAGCTGGTATTTACATGACTGTATGCATCTGTCAAAATTCCCAATGGTACATACAAAAAGTATGAAATTTACTGAAGATAAATTATACCTTAAATTTAAGGGAAGAAATCAAAAAGATAACTCTGGATCCTTTTAAAGTAGCCAGAATGAAAGGAGGGAGACAGATTGGGAGATTCTGTAATTAACCAATGGGTGACTTTTCCAGGGATAGAAGCAGAGATGAGAAGTGGTTAGATTCTAGATCTATTTTACAGAGTAATGGATGTAATCTGCCAAAGACTGGGCTATGGCAGTTAAAAAAAAAAAAGGGATCAAGGTGACACCAAGATTTTTTTTATTTCATTTTTCATTGGAAAACTTTTTAAAATTAAAGTACAGTTGATATACAATCTTATGTTAGTTTCAAATAAACAATACAGTGGTTCAAGTTACGCATATTATTAAATCCTCACCCCCTCTAGTGCATCTACTGTCTATCCACTTAGTTACAGAATCATTAACTATATTCTCCGTGCTGTACCACCATCCCCGTGACAAATTTATATTGTGATTGCATTTATTGTGCCCCTTTATCCTCTTTACCCTCCCCCAACCCCACCCCAACCCCTCCCCCTTGATAACCACTATTCCCTTCTCAGTGTCTATGAGTCTACTGCTGTTTTGTTCCTTCTGTTTTGCTTTGTTTTTATACTCCATAAATAAGTGAAGTCATATGGTATTTGTCTTTCTCTGCCTGGCTCATTTCACTGAGCATAATACCCTCTAGAGCCATCCATGTTGTTGCAAATATCACTATATAAAGAGCTCTGCTCAGTGCTCTGGGCAGAAGCAGAGACGGGGGTGGATTATGGACCTGCAGACTGCTGGACGCACACGTGATTCTAGTGCTCAACCTACCACAAGGAGAATAAAGCCAGGTATAAACGCTTTTACCCCAGGAATGTTCATTGTCATTTCTCAGTCTCACTGAATCCATAGTGAACTTATCTGTGGCTGAAACCCTCAGGCAAGACACCCACCTAATACATATGTGGTATCATAGTAATTTTGCAATAAAACAAAAAACCAAACCTTGTTGGTCACCAATGAAAGATGTTAGGGAACCAGCTCATTACTTTGAAAGCTAATAAACAAAAGGAAATAACTTTCCTGTAAAAACCCTATGTCAGAAAAACAGTGGCCAACTAAGGGAAGTTCTCTTTATCTACTAAATTAAGAAACAATAATAAAAATAGAATTATCATCATTTTACAGTCCCTTATGAAATAAATGTGCCAAGCAATGATTATCAATGGTTACTAATGCATAAAAGAACAGACAATTAAGCATTATGTGCCTCCTGGTAGAAGTATTCAATACTACCTATATTCTTGCAAAAATTTGAGCCTCAGTCTGATCAAGGCCATGTATAAAAATAACAATTATAGAAAATTGAGGATAGAAAACAGGTTGAATGTCATAGGGATGTAATCCCGGGAAAATCCAGAATGTGCGAAATTCTACAGGACATACCATCCAGTTTCTTCAACAAGAAACTGCAAGGGAAAAAAACAGTAGTAACCTGTAGACTAAAAGAGAAATATCAGCCTATTGCAGTGTTTGGAACTAAATGGATCCTGACTTTTTTTAATGATGAATGAGGAAATTTGACCAGTAGCTAGATATTTGATACTAAAGAATTACTATTAATTTTAGATGTGATAATGGCACTATTAAAAGAGATAGTTCTTATCTTTTTAAAGACACAGAAGTATTTAGAGATGAAAAAATATAATATGATTGGAAGTTTGCTTCAAAATAATTAAGTGGGAGGTAAAGAGAATGAGTGGAGTCAAGCAAATTAAGTAGTTAATGGGAGGCAATGGGTACATGTGGGTTTCACTATATAATTTGCTCTATTTTGGTATATATTTGATCCAAATTAAAAGTTTTTCTTTAACCAGTCTTCAGGAAACTCTGTAACAGAATTTTTTCCATTTGCCTGAAAATGTCAGATTCAATTTATGACCCTCCTAAAGGTATTTACATTTTTCACACAAAGATAAGGTCTTAAAAGAATGGTGCTAGTGGTCTATTTAATGAGTCAGCAAATCAGTGAAAATTTTCCTTTATTTCAAGATAAACATTCCCAACAATCTCAAAACCAAATGAGTCACATAAACAACCAAATCTGACTGCTTTTAAGTAAGTATCTGGGTTAAAGCATGATTTGTTTTTATAATAGATGACCCTTAGTGACCTTTGTGATTACCTGCCTATTCACCAAGAGTAAGTAGGATTCAAACTTCATCATGTACTACAAGGTTGTCTCACCAAATTAATCATCTGTATTTTTAAGTGTTTAAAATATTTTGAAGTTCACCAAAGGATAAATAAATTTGAGTTTTAAAATTCTAGTCTTTTACCAACTATCTATTTCCACAAATAAGAAAGCAAACTTTAAAAACAGCTCAGAACTGCTTTAATACTATGCAGACACTTACACAAAAGCAGATTTACATACCTTGCCTGGACTGTGAAGGTGCTACAGGAATTTCATGGTTTGGCTCAAAAGGAAGTTCAGGTGTTAGGTTTTCAAACAGCTCTTTACTAATGAGATTTAGCTTCTTAAAGTTCTCAACTTCTTGCTGAAGTAGAATGGAGGAATTTAATTACTAAACTGGCTAATAGAGTAAACAACAGACAATAATTGTTACCAATGTCAGAAAATGAGTTTTTAAAACAGGGATTAACAGAATAAAGAAGATGTTATAATAAAGAATGTAATATTATACTTAATAACAATTAATATTCAGAATCTAAAAAGGGCACAGAGAACCCTAAAATATTATGAATACTTTATAATTAATATACATCATAAAAGCATACTCCCAATCATTAATTATTTGTTGAGCATTTATACACAAGACCACTAGGGTATTACAGAGGTTAAAAAGTAATCTAATGCATGTTCCATAACCTTAATGAATTTACAAGTTAGATGGAAAGAAAGAAATGCACACATAAAAACAAGTAATATTAGGCAGTATATGAAAAGTGATAATCTTTGGTATAAGAATTAAGAATATCAAGTAGACATCATAGAAGAGATGACACAAAAGCAGCTCTTGAAGAATGAGAATTTAGAGAAAGGAGAAACATTCCCTATTAGGTAATGTGAGCAAAGATGAGAAGTATGGAATAAGCAATCATTCATTAGAAAATTCAGTAACTGAGAAAACTGGAGTAGAACCAGTGGCAAAAAGAGCTGACAAGGAAGTTGGAAAAAACTATTATAAGATCTTTATAGTAGTCCAACTTTTTATTTCATTGTCTATAATACAAAACATGTGATAAGGGTACATCTATATATATAGCCCTGGAGATTCATTTCCAAATCTCTTTTCTAATTTAGCAGCATGGAGGCTCAGTAGGTCTGAGGTGTGAGCCCAAAGAAAGAATAGGCCCATCCCTGCCCCTGGGCTCCCAAAGCTTCTCTTTTTTAACTGTTGTTACATAGTCACTTAGATGCTCCCTGCCCTGCCACTGTTACAGCTTCGGAAACCATTCTCCATTGGAAGGTCAGCGGGCCATGGTGCATGAAGACCATCCAGGCCTAACCTAAGCTGTGGAATAAAAAAGGAGTTTGATAAAGAGGCACAAAAATCTCAATCATAGTATCATTTGGACATGGGGATGGAAGTACAGAATAAGAATATAATCAATGGTTCTGTAACATTTTTCTGTGTTGACAGTAACTGTATTAGTTGGGGTGAGGATTTAATGTATGTAACTGTTAAAACTGTTGTATACCTGACACCAATATAATACTGTATATCAGCTATATTCAGTAAAAAAAAAAACTTCATAAAAAAAGGAATTTGAGGGAATGCTTGCATTTTACTACTTCTTATAAGTTTTCCCCAATAAACTATCACATCTACATCACTCAGTGCTAATGGATCCATGATGCTTTACATAGCAACATCCACAGAGGGTTTATGCAGGTAAAAAACATAACAAATGTCAGATAAGCCAAATTAAATATCATCATTACCTTACTCTTAGTAGTTAATCAAACAATCTTTTCCTTCTGTATTTAAACAATCTTTTCCTCTGTCTTTACTTGTCAGCTCACACCATTCATTACTGTTAGTCTTTTAAACAGGGATCTATCTTTGCATGAAAATGCCTTGGATGATTACCTCAGCTCTTGCCCCTATACCAAAATTGCTTTCCCAAAAGTCAAGTGGTTATATAGTTCTAGAGCCCCACAAAGACACTTAAAAGTCTTTGCATATAGTTAATGATTAAAAATCTACAAGTAAATGCGGTCACTTGTGGACAAGAAAGTAATAAGAGAAGCAGATCAAAGACAGAACCAGTGAAAACCACATTTAAAAAGCAAGCAGAAATTGTACATTTGTAAATGGTTAAAATGGTACATTTTGTGTTTATATTTTACCACAATAAAAAACACAAGACATAACAAAAAGGCAACCAGACCGTCTTGTGTCATAAAGTATGAAAAGTGCTAAACAGACACAGATGATTTGTATGCATGAGCCATCTTGAGAGAGCTCTAACCTGACTAGATTTGAACATCAAAATGAATAATCACAATAATCACAGGAATGCAAAAGAATCTATTCCAGAGTCAATAATGACACCAAAAAAAAAAAAAAAGGGTGAAGAAGAAAAAAGAAAGTTAAAATACAAAAGTAAAAACTGGAGTGAAGGGGAAAGTTCTTTTTCACAGAGGAATGCTTACCAACTAAATTAGAGTGAATAATGGAAATAGAAAATTGATCTTATAATCCCCTTAGTGATTGATTGAGGCAAAAATCATCAATGGGGGCTAAAACCCTGAGTGAAAACTATTGAGGATCACAGATTCAAAGTTTCACTCCAGAGATCACTTAACTGCAAAGGGGAAAAGGTATCTTTAACAATGATGAAATATGCTAGACACCATGATAATCAAATGACTAGTTCTGGAACTCACATCATTACCTCTCCTGAGGTGATGTACTAAAGAGGGCACAACATCACCTATGTAATATTCCTGACAAAATATTTAACCTGAAACTTATGTGGAAATACTGGGCAAACCTAAACTGAGAAACATTTAAAAATTACTGGCCTGGACTCTTCAAAAATGTCAATGTCATTAAAGGCAAAAAAAATTAAAAATAAGAGGACTAAGGAACTGTTCTAACTGAAAGAATTTTAAAATTATATAACTCTAAATGAAATGTGTGATTCCTGGTTGGGGATGGTATTGAAAAAAAAGTTATAAAAGACATTTTGAAGACAATTGAAGATATCTAAACAGAGACTGTTAGATATTGTATCAGTGCTAAACTTCCTGTATTGATAACTTATGGCCATGTAGGAGAATGCAGTTGTTTTTAGGAGATACACATTGACGTAGTTAGGGATAAAGTGGCATAATGTCTACAACTAACTCAAATGGTTCAGAAAAAAACACACATATGTGTTATGTACTTCTATATATGTATTATACAGAGAGGGAAAAAAAATGCAGTAAGATGTTACCAATTGTTGAACCTAGGTGAAGAGTACACTGGTATTCACTGTATTATTCTTGCAACTTTTCTGAAGGTTTGAAATGCTTCAAAATAAAGACTTAGAGGGATTAAAATATAGATGTATACTACAGATACAGAAACATGTTTATAATGTATATAGAAAACTAATACACCTTAATGATGTCTTTCAAAAGTATACATCTCTCATTCATATTGGCAAGAATAGAAGAGGAAGAAGTCGAAGCAGCAAGGGTTTCCCTCGGCAAGTTTCTTGAGAGAACACTTGCACTTCAACTTTCTCACCTCCTGTTCGTGGAAGTATGAATGGTGATCTGGATGGTAACGAGGGGGTGAACAATGTGTGAAAGATTTTTTTAAAGGATGAATATGACCGTAGAGTATGAAACCAGTGGAAAGAAAAATTAAAGGTACAGTTACAACAGAGTATGAACCTTTAGAGATCATGATCTCAGAAAACATTTCTTTTCTTGGCTTCTTCAAGTGAAATCAAGTAAAATTACACTTTTTTCCTCCTAGTAACTATTACGAGCATGTCTGCCCCTTTTGTTCCCTCTCTCCTGTTCTTCAATATCTTAAAAGTTTGATCATTTTCCAGCTTTAATTCTCTCATCTATACTAAAATCTACATTTCTTATCATCTCTAGTACTTAGAAGGAAAAGGACATTTTACATAAATAGACACCATGACACCAATTCATTTCCAAATCTCACTATCATTCCGTCCCAGTCTTTCCTAGTCAGTGTTCCTATTTCTATCACACTGTACTATCAATTGTTTCTTTAAAATCTCTTTCCAACTTTGGCACTTCATTCTCATAAAGCCAGGACCATAATCAGTCATTAATGAATGCTCATTAAAAAATATAAATGTTATCTATCTCTTTGGGTTAGCATTTCATTTCACCCTAGTTATTATGAGTTTTTAACTCAATTTTGGCCTCCTGCTACTCAGACCTAGACTAATGCCTAATAGATTAAACAGTATTTTGATCATACCACTTTTCTTTATAAAAAATTACTGAAATTCTGTCAATGAAGAAGTAGGCTTGAATTTTAGAAGCTACATGATTACGTTGTAAAAGCTGACTATAATACCATCTTTGAAGGAGATACTTTAGAAACAGATTTGTTTTTCATTTACTGACATATATAGCTTTACTACTGAATTCTTGGTCACTCTTCTACATTCTTTGAAACACAAGATTTTCGTTAGCCACTGTTCTCGGCAATAATCACAAGGCTTTAACATTTATTCACCTCTCTTTTCTCCATTTTACCCCCTTGTACGTCAAGCCAACTGGCTACCTTTCCTAGCTGGACTACTTATTCCGTTTTGATTTTGTACATGTTTCCAAATATTGCCTAAAAACCAAGGCAAAACTCTTGCATACGTCACATAGTACAATTTTGATAAAAGTTACAGGGAGGCAAAATTTTCAACCATTGTCTCAGCAGTGGTAAAAAAGGAGAAATCTCTCCCACAGAAACCTGAGCAAAGAAATCAGGCAGAACTCCAGGGAAAGGGCAAGAAAGAAGTCACTTGCTCAAAGCTGACTAGTCTACACCTTAAACCGAATATACAAAAGAGACTCCTAGTGCCAGCAAAACAGAAAGGGGGAACACAAAGGGCCTTGGGCCTAGAAACTCTGCAAGAACAAGGACTTTCAGTTTGTTTTCCTCAACAATGTATACAAGTGCCTATCACTATGGTTGGCCCTTACAGATACTCAAATATCTGTTAAATGAATAAATGGATGAATAAATGAACAGACAGGACTGTTCTGAAGAACAGACTTGAACTGAAGTCAAGAAGAATGTGGTCTAATGGAAATTATTTTTTGTGTCATTATCTCTTGGTCAAGAGTACTGAACACAACAGTGGGTTCTAGATAGAGTGTTTGGCTATATATAACACAGAATATTCTTTATTTAGGGCCTAGTTCAAGCCCATTCTTCTCTAGGAAGTCTCCCTTGTTTATGCCAACCTAAAGCTCACAAAATTCCTTCATCCAACTATTTTTAAATAATTTTATTATAAAATATCTTGTATAAAACATTTGTATACAGTATAAAAA